GCCATGGTGGTTTTCTTCACCGACCTTCATGGAGATCTTCAGAGAAAACAGTTGTTCGTGTAATATTTTCATGATCAAAGGCACTTAGACCAGAATAAGGACCAGAAGAGAACATAGAAGAGGTTACTTCCGACTCAAACGTAGCTGATGATTCTCTCCGGTTAGGACGGACTTTATTAGAAGTGTCTAAAACCGGGTCTTGATACTCGACCACACGTTGAACCATTTTCAGTGACTGAACCACTTCACCCATCGTTGGTCTTTGACTAGCTTCGGGTGCGACACAAGCTGCAGCGATTGTGCAGACTCTTACGAAATCTTCTTTCGGGTATTTTCCTTCCAGTCTTGAATCAATTAGTTCTTCTAATCGGTCTTTGTCTCTAAGAACTGGCCTTGTCTGCATCCAAAATATCAACATTTTTTTACATTCAAGACTCGGATAATGAAAACGCAGAACATCTCTGGTGACGACAAGGAGGATGTTAGTTCTTACCCAAGTGACGAGGTTTTCTTGGCCTGAAGGTTGTGACATATCCACAGGTTTTCTACCAGTTAACAACTCGAGAAGGACCACTCCGTAACTATAAACATCACTCTTAACGAGTAAGTGTCCTGTCATTGCATATTCAGGCGCTACATACCTGAAGAAAACCGATTCGGATTCAGGATTCAATAGATGAGTCAGAATTTCAAGGTGTATTGTATATGAAAACTTTCAAAGAGGGATGAAAACTCACCCAAATGTGCCCATAACACGGGTAGATAAGTGATTACCCCTGCCTTCAGGAGCTTGTTTGGCTAGGCCAAAATCTGCAACTTTGGCGTTGAAGTTGTTCTCGAGGAGTATATTAGAGGCTTTAAAATCTCTGTGTATAACCGATGGTTGCGAGTCTTCATGAAGGTAAGCTAAGCCTCTTGCAGCATCAAGTGCAATCTTCATTCTGGTGTCCCAATCAAGAGGACAGTTCAATCCGAGAGGCCCTGAAGCATAAAAAATGACTTTAAAACAGAAATTCCCGAGACAAGTGTACGATAACTTCTTTTGGTGATGATAGTAATGTCAGTCTTGAATAGGTAGCAAGGGAAGTAAGGAGTATATTACCATGGAGCCAAGCCTCGAGGCTGCCATTGGGAACAAGCTCATAACAAAGTAGGTGCTGAGAAGAATCACGACTGCTATAGTAACCCACAAGTTTTACAAGATTGCGATGATGAAGACGGCTTAGCATATCAATCTCCACCTGGAATTCTCTATCGCCTTGTGGTCCTCCACTTGTTAGCTTCTTAATTGCTACAGCAGTGCCATCGGCTAAGATGCCTCTGTAAACCTTGCCAAACCCACCTTCCCCAAGAATGCTACTAGATTCAAAATTGCTAGTTGCCTCCTTGAGTTCTTCATATGACAGAAACCGTGTACTTGCTGGGTGGGGAAGAGATCCCCCTACCGAAGCAGCATCCAGGTTCCTCGGTTTTACTGAAAGAAGGAAGGTATGATCAAGTTTTATTGAGAACAAAGAACTTAATAAAGTAAGATAAAGTAATTGTGAGGGTTTAAGAAAATAAGATAAATCACACTGGTAATGTTGACGACAATCATTCATCATCTATTATCCTCATACTTAACTTTCTTTTCTTTGATGCCTAAGGTCTGTTGGCTTTTACATAACGCCAAATGATTAGTCTTGAAAAGTAATGGCACAGCTTAACACTCAATAGAAAATAAATGATCCGTGAAAACTATATGCATCCCTACGTATATGCTAACTTTCAAATGTTAACTTTACGTGCCATGTATCTTCTGACATAATTTCATGCATTCTGAACTGAAACCAGCCTAACATATAAGGTTTTAAACCTTGTAATGAGAAGAAGTGCATACCAGCTTCTTTGTGAGGATCATGAGCTTTCTCTTCTCGGAGTGCGCAGGAACAAATAATAAGCACAGCGATTATGGCAATGATAAGCACACCAGCGGCTACAGCAAAGATAAGAATAAGATGGGACTGCCTCCTTTTCCCAGGAGCACTTACTGACGTAGTTGCTGAGGATCCTTGTGATGGTGCTTTTCGAGGTGAAGAAGCCACTAGAGGTGCTGCAAACAAATTAAGACCTATCTTAGTTCACATGTAAGGAATCATGGTGACATACTCCAAAAAAGTAGTGAAGCGAAGTTGTTAACAAAGAAAACTAGATCAGTCTAAGGTATGAAGCTTAAAAAAACCTTCCGCAACAAAAATATGATACTCGAATGCACAGAATTGAGGGCGTGACTGAATTCTTTCTCTGATACAACTGAAGAAAAGTAGTCTACCTTGAGAAGGTGCAGGGGCCTCAAACCAGGTAAGGTTTAGAAGTTTGTAATCTCCCACCAAAGCAGTGCTGAATTGAATCTTGTGGCTGACAAGCGAAGAGTTTATTGCGGCTGCCTGACTTGCTGAAAAACTGATTCCAGAATGAGGCGTGATATCCATTGAAATGTTCATCCTTGATAAGCTTAGCATATAGAAGTTGATCAGCTCTATTTGGGGAGGTAGGAGACCAAGCTGGGAAGCAAATTCATTCAGGAATATGTTCCAGCTAGGAGTGGCGGAAACATTCAAGAGAAGGATATCCAACTTTATAGGATAGACACAGTGGCAACCAATACTTCCTCGTTTCTGCACCATATCTGGTTTGCAACAATCTGGAAGAACAAGATATAAACACCAAGAGTATTGGACCTCGCATTTTACTGCTACTTTACTTGTCTAATAAAATCAAAAATGGGAAATGAAAGGGAGATTATACCTAAATTATTCTTCAAAGGGACAATGTTGATTAAGTTAAATTTCAAACCAAATTAGAGGAAAACAAAGAAGGAACCGTGAAACATGGGAATTCAAGTATGAGCTTGGATATTATCAACGAAAACATGAAACTGGATAACGTCTTACTTGAAATGGAGGGAGACAAAGGTGGCTGAGTTAAGTCATCAGGAAGGGCACCACTAGTAGATTGTGTTGGAGCAATATCAACCAAGCCGGCTCCAGGAGACTGAGCATTCCTTTTCATAGATGGTTTGGAGAAATGTGAGCTGGTAGGGGGGTGAACAGAAGCGACCAACCGACTATAGCGGGGAGGATGCCGAGGTGCTTCTGTTTGTTCTGGTGCCAAATGCTTTCTGTGAAACTGCGGAAATTCAGCTGGTAGGGGCAAATCAGGAATAGCTGGTGACAGTGAAATTGGCAGTCCTTCATGTAAAGCATCAGCTAACTGAACACTGACGAGAGAAACCAAACAATATACAGAAATCACCGTTTTCAACACCATTATGATGACATCTCTTCGCGACCCTGTATTTGATATATCATTAGAGACAGTGAGATAAGAACTGAACTAAAGCTACTCCATGTGATGGATAAAATTGCAACTATTTGGGAGTAATTTTTCTACAGATTTTAATGTTAGACGAACAAGCTATCCGAAAAAATGTCTTTAAGCAGCATAATGAATGCCTTACTGAGTTACTTTGATTTTGTTAGCCTGGGTAATCTAAGGTTTGAGAGTCCAGAGCAAAGATCATGTACCATATTTAGAAACTATAAACCTAAATCTTGAGCACAATCAGTGTAAAGCAATACTACATTCCAAATTTGTTTCATGACTTGATGATATTCTTAAAAGGAAACTAACCAAAATCAGATAAAGAAACAAAGCAACTACATATCAAAATAGGTCCCATAGGCAAAAATAGAAATCCCATGTCCTCCGATTTCAAAACATAGACTAACTTCTTAAAATCGAGATCACTACAATAAGATAGATTCATATGCGTGAATTACCAGCAGAGCCAGCGAGTGAGAAAATCGACATCACCGACACTTTCCTTTGCTTGGAAAACTTCAGATCTACTATAATATATGCAAAACTCGCCGCGGGAACAGAAACTAACACCGGAAGACGAAATCCTCAAGACGAAACGAAAAACGTAAAAGACCTTAAACCCGAGTAACCACTTCAAGGCTTTTCGACGGTGGATCCGAGAAAGGAACAAACGGAGCTCCGGAAACCCAAACCAGAGAATCCGCCATCGCCGCCGACGATTTCAGCTCCAGAAATTTTTTTTCCGTTGGCGGAGATTTCTTCGGCTTCAGTACTGTACAAGCTCCT